TCAAAGTTCATGGATATTGACTATCACACCAGCTTATAGTCAAGAACTGCAGTGCAACCTAAACTCAGCAGTGTGCAACTAATATGTGCAGTCTACAACCGGCTATTGCATTCCACATTGCAATTCACCTGTCTTGACTTTCCAAGCGCTCACTATGTCCTGATTTAATATTTGATTGGATTAGGGATGTGGACGAAGCCTGATTCCGAATTCAGAAAGGCAGGGAAAATGAATAACACATTCTACGGAGGCCCTAAAGGGACATGGTCAGGCTTGCTGCGGTAGTCGTTACATTACATTACATCAGATTTCAGTTATCACATGAAGATAGTAAGGAGAGATGACTGACAGGACGATGTCGGAGGATTTGGTGCACAACAGATCCTGAGGGTCATTGGCGTCTTATCTTGTGAAATGTGTGGTCAGTACCAGGGTGGGAATTATACCGCGGCCACGCGGCCATGGCCGCCGTTGCCCTACACTTTGGCCTTCATGCCCCGTGAAAAAAAAAATCATCGTACGGCCACAGTGGCCTGTGTGCCCTGGGCCTGTCCAAGTTCCATGTATAAAGCGCCAGTGCGGCATAGTGGGCCACCCAAGTAGTCTCTGAACTTCAATTAGTTCGTGGATTCGCGCAGGTGCAGTGTCATAACCAGTGCGTCGGCGCACTGAAGCGTTTTTTTCCCCATCGCGTTCCCATTCATAAAAAACTCATGTGCTGTCGTCATGACAGCGATTCACAAAACAACGTCACTCACGGCTTTTAGCTCAAAAGTGTGCAGATTTGGAGAAATATTTATATATTCTCAGTTTACATCAGATTTCTATTAACAGGAATAATATTTTATTGAATTGAATAGAATGGTATACTATATGAAGCCATAGTAGCCTATGATGTGAGATAGAAATTTAAGTCATTAAATTCAAGTTCACGAAAACTTTTCCCTCCGCTGCGACTGTCAGTCATTCTCCATTCAGCATCAAACAGCGCGTCGCGTTCGGTTACAGATAACCCTCTCCAAGATGATTCAATGTTAATATTATTATACTTGATCTGTAGATAAAGCTCTATGGTTTCGCATAAAATGACTATCTTGCTGGACTGTATTGCTCTAACTTAATCATGTTACTTTCTATCGTGTGTCTGTTAGATCACAACACTGGAGCACTATAATTGTTCTTCACGCGCACAGTAACTGAAATTTAAAACTGTTAAAAGAAAAGGCTCAATAAACTATTGCATAGATAGATACTGTATAATACACTACGCATCAATATGTCTTTCGTTTGTGCTTTGAACTTTTCAATGCGGACTCGACCATAGACAGTAAAAGAAGTGCTTCAAGCGCATCATTCTGCGCTCGGGATGCGCATAAGCGCTTTGTGCCGCACTGTGTTGGATCCTTTCATAATCATATAATACTTTTGCGCAATGAAAGATTCTTAATAGCCTTTTTTGTTCTGTCCTGTCTATCATATGTTGCTGCCTCATTAAACAGCTGTGATATACATTTAAAAAAATGTCTTAATTTTATAGTAGCCATATAAAATAATTGATCTTTCTGATTTTTATCTTGTTTTTCATTCATGTATTTGACAACAATACAAAGAGCAATGTGTAACGTTTTTCCAGATTTAGTGCTACACTTATTGTCTCTTATTTGTTCCCCAGTAAATAATGTTTTTTTTTCACTAAATGTTCAGATTTGATAAAATTATTGTACACTTGTGATTTTTCTAGACTAAATTTTACTGCTGAGTTATCCACTAATCTAGTTTATAATAGAATTTTTGTCATGATTGGTTATGATCAAATTTTTTTTATTTGTTGTTTTTCTTTATAATGAAGTTGTCTGTATTAAGTAGATTGTGTTTAACACACAAAAGAGTGATTATCAGTTCAACACAGTTATAGAAATTCTATTTGATTTTTTTTTTTAAACTGCGCTGGTATGCAAAAAAATGCATCTAAAAATGCATCAGATTGATGCTTTAAAATATGGAATATATAAAATTTTCTTACAGGGGAGCATGCCCCCCGGACCCCCCTAGAGGGGTAATATCCTTCTCACCTTTTTCACCCCTGAACCGTTTTCATGCCTGATTATACATAAAATATTATATTTTCTGTCTGATTTTTTTTTATCTGAAGCCAAATCAGATCACAGAAGGTAAAAAATGTATTTTTTATTAAAAAAAGTCATAATCCATGTCTTATTCCAAATTAGGATGTTATGGTATCAATCTGAATGGGAAAACCATCGAATTGTACTCAATGGCCTTTGTGCCCTGTCATATGGCCTTGGTGCCCCTAAAAAAAAAGAAAAGGTGGAGGCCAAATGGCCTTGCCCCTAAAATTACATAATTCCCACCCTGGTCAGTACCACTGCTATACACAGAGTACACGAGATCGCGAATTAGAAAGTGAAAGTAAAAAGCGGGCATTCAAAAGTGATTTCAATACCCTGCATATTGATTGCGGCTGCATGATGCCCGCAAATTATATACAATATAATTACCTAACTATATAATTGCGAGAGAACGCAAAAGCATTGAAATATATGTTTTTCTCATGTCCCTTTAGGGGCTCTGTAGAATGTGTCATTTTTTTTCCGAACATTGTTCAGTCAGTCAATCAATCAATCAATCTATCAATCAATTAATCTTAATAGGGCTATAATTATTTTCTTTATGCATATTTTAGCTAATTATTTTCATGTGTATATGTGCAAACATGTTACATCTTAAATTTGTGTCAACAAAGTTGCATAATACCATTTGAAAACTTTATCATGGCATATTTTGCAGTTTTCAAAAACATTTTAAAATATAATATTCACTAGTTTATAGTCCATACTACACATTATGCAGTATGCAAGTATTACAGAGGTTTTGTTACTAATACTATATCATGTATTTTGGCATGGTTGGAAAGCTGTATTGACCAATCAGCAGCAATAGCAAACCTCGTTTAATAAATTCTAAAATGATCACTGTATTTTAAAATGTGTAAAACGCATGTCTTTAGTTATCACCTGTATGAAAGCACCAGCATGGAGCCTTGATATCAATATTTGTGATTTAGCAGCCTCTTTTATCTAAGCATTTGTATGTGTGCATGAACAACCAATCACAGCACATCTCAGAAAACACTCAATCACAGGACAATTGCAGAGCTGATCTCACTGTTGCGAGGTAGGAAATGGCTCAGTGCCTTTGGCTGGTTCATTTTCCAGCTACATTAAGGAGTTCTTGTCTCTGGGGGGAAAGAGAGAGAAATCATGACTGTTTGAATAGTCAATGTGTCTCATGTGTGATGAGTCTCAGACCCCCTTTTCTCCCTAGAAAGTCCCCCAAGTTGAGAAATATTACACTACATTTTATTTTAGTTTTTAAAAAGTCGCTTCTGCTCACCAAGGCTGCATTTATTTGATCAAAAATACAGGAAAACTGTAATATTGTGAAATATTATTACAATTTAAAATAACTGTTTTTAATTTGAATATCGGGGTGGGCGATATGGCAAAAATATATCACGATATTTTTCAGGAAAATCACGACTCACGATTTTATCACGATTCTTTTTCATGTTGGTTTTACTATTTTGCAAGTGACTGAGCATTACAGCCAAACTAATCTCCCTATTTTAAAAACAGCCTTACAAGGTAAAATATCAAATAAAAAAGAATGGCAGACATTTAGGCCAAAGTGTCGAAGATAAAAATCTTTGACAAGATACAATGGAAACATGAGGGCTATTTAAACACCAAGACTAATGACTAACAAGAAACACCTGTGAACAATCAAGACGATCAACCAATTTAAAATCTAATTTATTCCTGTGATGTTAAAGCTGAATTTTCAGCATCATTTCTCCATTCTTCAGTGTCACATGATCCTTCAGAAATTTATATGAAAACATATAAATATCAAAACAGGTGTCCTGCTTCATATTTTTGTGGAAGCCGTGATGTATATTTTTTCAGGATTTTTTCTTTGATGAATAGAAATAGAAATCTGTTGGAACTGTATAAATGTCTTTACTGTCACTTTTGATCATTTTAATTCATCCTTGCTGAATAAAAGTATTTCTTTCTTTCAAAGAAAACAAAAATAATCTTACAGATCCCAATCTTTTGAACGGTAGTGTACATCAAAGGAATGGTTTATTATATTTAATATTTAACCAAAAATGCATTGTTAATTACATAACCTCATAGTAATGTTTATTTATTACTGGAACCACTTTTGATGCTGTTATATATATATATATATATAGCCAGTAAACACACACCTGAGACCTGATCATTGCTTGTAACCAGGGTTTGAAATTAACTTTTTCTTTTCTTTTTTAACTTTAACTTTTTTTAGTAGCCAATTTGGTTATTCAGAACTTCTATTAGCCAAAAGAAAGAAAAATGAACCAGATTAACTACGTCACAGCTTATATATATACATATATATGGATTTCATACATTCATTTCTTATTCAAACAAAATCCTGTCATCCAGCAGTCTCCTCCCCTCCTCTTTCATCCTCATCACCAAAAATGTATTTTATGTGGACAGATTAATACAGTTCAAAGAACATCAAAAAATCTAGGATGTTGGAAAATAACAATGTCTTTTTAATCTTCGCTATCTCTTCAATGCAAATGAACAAGCGCACTGTTATTTGTTGTGTAGTGACGGGCATGTTCAAGTAAGCCAGATATGCGCAGATTCTTCGCAATACGCTGTATTTATCATGATGACTCACGAGTTGAGTATTTGTGCTAAATCTGCGCAGATTTGGCTTACACGAACTTCCTCAGCAAAGTAAACATTAAGTAACACACCAAATTGGCTAGTGATTTTACAGCGTTACCTGCCACAGTTCGTTTTTACCTGCATTTGGCGGGTTGTCGGGTGTTCATTTCAAACCCTGCTTGTAACCCATAACCAACCTATGTTTTCTAGATAGCAAACACTCTCTCTTTTGTCTTTTCTTCACATCCACAGAAGGATGAGGTGTATCTGAATTTGGTGATGGACTACGTGCCTGAAAACGTGTACCGAGTGGCCAGACACTACAGCAGAGCCAAGCAGAATCTGCCCATGGTCTATGTGAAGGTAACATCTCTCTCATTTTTGACCGAATTTTTTTTACGTTTTGTTTAGAATTTTTTACTTCATAGTAATGGTACGAAACTTGGTAAAGGTTTTGGCACTTGCTATGTGAACACACACACAAAAAAATCATGGACATGAGTCGAAAAGGTTAAATGGTCCTGAAAAAAAGTCACGCTTGTACTCCTCGCGGTCAAAAATGAGCGAATTGGAAATGAATGGGAGACGAATTTCATCTAGTGAAAACATTTGGTACTGCGCCCAAACAAAGATGTACATTTAGATATCAAGCTCATATTTGGAGCACAACTTGTTTAGATTTACAGCTATGATTTTCATGCAGTTTTAGAGTATAAACGTGTTTTTGAACATATATATTTCATATAAAAATTTAAAATAATATATTTTTTTGCATTTTTCATATTAAACGTAAAAAGTTACATTTTTAAAACTTTTTTCACTTCAGCAATAATTTGCCTAGTGTCATCTTTGAAAAGAAATCAAACTTCACTGTGCGTTCACACCGGACGCAAATAGCGCGTCAAATTCGCGTCTACCGCGTCTAGTTTGACGCTTGACCACTTTGTGTTAATTCCCGCGTCAAAACAAAAGTTTGAAGCGAAATTTACGCGCGTCGGATTCGAAACCCGTTGGCGGCCATTTTTTTTATTTTGATCGAGCATTCATCGGGAGAGTCACCGCTCTGTATTTGCTCTGGAGAGCAGAACAGCGGCGTAGGGATCATCGTCGCCGTATTTGTGTCCACCAGACCCTTCGGAGGCGAACCCAGTTTGGCGAGTTTCACCATTTGCTCGCTCCAGGAGCTGCGCCTGGATGACGCCGCTTTCAGCGGTATTTCCGCCTGTCCCGCGCCCAGTTTGATGACCTGTTGTCCCGCATCGGAGCGAGGATCACCCTCGCCCTCACCCACCTAGCTGCTAATATGTCATTTATTTTTGTGTTGATGATAAACGGAGCCAGCCTCCAAAAGTGATTAACCTGTCCTGTGATGATTTTTTCTCTCTCACACAACACTGTCCAGACACGAACTTATGCACTATAGTATGTTGGTTGTCTTTACATTATAATAATATTTCATATAATCTAGATATGGAATAAATAGCATTCAATACAAAATGAATGTCTCATATATTGAAAACAAGTTTTATGTGATAAAATATTTGCTTTGTTGTGCATTAGAACCACACAGGCATTTAGTCATATTAAAAAATAATTTATTGAAGCATCGGGATACTTCACCACGTGACAGCAGCAAGCAGCTAGGCTCCTGATTGGTTAACGCGGCGCGAATTGACGCCAAAGTTCAAATTTTTCAACTCGGGCGGCAGACGCGAATTCGCGTCAAATGCGTGAATGCACAAAAAGCACTTAATAAAATCATTCGCGCATAACGCGCGTGCTCAATTCGCGCCATTCGCGTCTACCGCGCCGCGCTCTACGCCTCATTCGCGCCGCAGGAATTTTTTACACGCGTCTTTGCATTGACTTAACATTGAAATCACTCGCGCCTGACGTCCGGTGTGAACGCACCAGTCTGTGCTCAAAAGCTTTCAAGATTTATGGCAGTTTAAGTTGGAAATTAAATTTTCAGGTCCATGCTCAAAAAGTGTCTACTTTACTAAAGTGACTACAGCATAAATAGAATTTAGTACCATAAAAACTAACTAAAATATAGTACATTCATTTAATTGAAATAAAAAAAAGAAGTCATTTTTGGCCGCCACGCACCAGAGGGTTAACAGAGTCTGACATTATTCACTAATCTAAAGATGTGTGATTTTCTAAGTTGGTTTGGTGCTGGTCTAACTCATGGACCAAAACTGCAAAACGTAGTTTGTGTTGTGAATCCAGTCACCTATGGGCTTTCTGATGTAGCTTGGTCGACCATGGTGGTCTTGCTGGTTTAGACGTCTTATGAGCTGATTTCTCCTGTTTTCATGGGGTTCTGTGCTATATCTTAGTTCATTTCTGGGCTTTCAGTGGATTCGTTTGTAGATTTGACTCAGCTTGTAAATTCAGCTGTATTAAAGTCACTGATTATGTGTGTTTTCAGCTATACATGTACCAGCTGTTCCGCAGCTTGGCGTACATCCACTCGTACGGGATCTGCCATCGAGACATCAAGCCGCAGAACCTCCTGCTCGACCCAGAGACATCTGTACTCAAACTCTGTGACTTCGGAAGGTGAGACGCACTTATCGATACCCAGATCTTGAGTAAGAGATAGTTGAGACATTGACTGAAGTTCTGTGTTGATGCTCATGATCTTAATAAAAACCTTTTGGTGATTGAAATTAAATAAAAATTGTGCTTACATTACTGTTCAAAAGTCTGGGGTCAGTAATACAAAATAAAATAAGTGAATACTTTTATTCAGCAAGGGCGCATTAAATTGATCAAAAGTCACAGTAAAGACATTTATAATGTTACAAGAGATTTATATTTCAAATAAATGCTGTCTACTAATAAACTTTCTGTTCATCAAAGAGTCTTTCTAAAATTTCTACTAAAATATTAACTGTTTTCTACACTGATAATAATCAGAAATGTTTCATGAGCAGCAAATCATCAAATAAGAATGATTTCTGAAGGATCATGTGACACTGAAGACTGGAGTAATGATGCTGAAAATTCAGCTTCGATCCCATTAAAAAAAATTCAAATTTAAAATTTTAATAATATTTCACAATATTACTGTTCAAACTGTATTTTTGATCAAATAATTGGAGCCTTGGTGAACATAAGAGACGCCTTTTCAAAGCATTAAAAAATCGTACTGATCCCTACGTTTTTACCGATAGTGTACATATATATTTCTTTACAAATTGATTATATGGAGATGTTAGTGCAGGAAAATCATGCAACATGTACTATACTGTTTAAAAGCATCCCAGGATGCACCTCATGAGGTTGGTTGAGGTAATGAGGGCATTTTGGGGGCAGAGTGTGAATGGCAGCAGTATAAAACCGAAAAACTTTGCTTGTGTGAATAACAGATGTGGTACCTTTACTGGAAAACTTCATCCGGCTATTTCACGGCAACTGAACAAGTTTCATGTGCGAATGTGACTATTCCCACGGCCACGGATCAAATTATCCGACCATCCGACACATTTAACTGAGCATTCTGATCTGAATCTGTCGGACTTTATTTGAATAAACTGCTCAAAGATCCTCTGTGGTGAACTAAATTTGGCTCTAGTTAATTAGTGTATGGTGATAAATACTGATTATGATTATTGTTCTTATGATGATAATGATGGCTGTTTTGATGTACACCGTTGTTGGTGTAATTTCTGGTCTGATTGTCTCTGTCTGTCTCTCGCGTTCGGTGCGTCTCCTGCAGTGCAAAGCAGCTGGTGCGTGGTGAGCCTAATGTTTCCTACATCTGCTCGCGGTACTACAGAGCCCCTGAGCTCATTTTCGGAGCCACAGACTACACTTCCAGCATAGGTAAGGTATTCTACTGCTCTCTGTACCCTAAAACTGTTCTTAAACTACACCATCGGCATAGGTGCACTAAAAGAAATGTTAAAACAAAGAGATTCAGTATCACACAAAATCCTGTACTGTTATATATCACATTAAAGCAGTCATAATATAAACTTGAGTGTTACATTGAGTAAATCATAGTGTCTTTGTGATGTCAAAAATATTTATATTTCGTATAAAAAATAAAAAGAAGCCTCTTATGCAGACCAAGGCTGCCTTTATTTGATCAAAAAATCAGTAAAACGGTAATATTGTGAAATATTATTATTACTATTTAAATTTTATAAGGAAGCCTTCATTACTTCAGTCTTCAGTGTCACATGATCCTTCAGAAATCATTCTAATATGATGATTTGATGCCCACGAAACATTTCTTATTATTGTTGAAAACAGTTGTGCTGCTTAATGTTTTTGTGGAAACTTTGGAAAAAAATTTTTTCAGGATTATTTGATGAATAGAAAGTGCAGTTTTTAAAAATTTCAATGTTTGTTACATTATAAATGTCTTTACTGTCCCTTTTGATCAATTTAATGCATATTGCTGAATAAAAGTATTCATTTCTTTAAAAAATGTGACCATTTAAATCTTTTTATTAATTATGATTAATTTAGATATTTGCATGGGTAAAATTACATGCATCAACAAGCGATATTGTATCAGTTACTGTAAATCACACCTCCAACATAGTTTTTGTGTATTGTATAAAGAGCTCAAAAACACACTGAGACAAGCTAAAGAAATGGGATCAAATATCTGTGATGTAACAAGAGTATTTGCTGTAATATTCAGTGTTTACCTTTTTGTTTTTCTATACAGACATTTGGTCGGCTGGTTGCGTACTGGCCGAGCTGCTTCTTGGACAGCCGATTTTTCCCGGTGACAGCGGTGTCGATCAGCTTGTTGAGATTATCAAGGTGTGGAAGCATGGGAGTTTTCATAAATAACATTTTGATTGCTTCAACTTTTGTTATTGCTGAACTGAAGAGTCTATGTTAAATCACATTATTCACTTCTCTTAGTGTTAGTGTTCGAGTAACGCAAAGTGAAGTTACATTTCTTTTTTTCAGGAACTTTCTCCTAGTTTACAGCAGAATCCTCAGTGTACTGTTAAAAAAAGACTTATTTCCTGATATCTATAAGGCAGTGTTGTTGCTGTTATCCCTATCCTTTTTCAATAATTGAAATAAAAAAATAAATAGTATATGAAAAATCCTAAAAATTAGAGCTGCCTCTTCAGCAGCTAACTGAAATAAAATAAGTTAAAGTACTAAAATGACTAAACCTAAAACTGAATTAAAAAAATGAATAAATAGAAATCTATTTAGAAAAAACAGCAAAACAACAAAATTGCTAAAACTTTGACTAAAATAAAATAAATATTTTTAAATATTAATAGTTACTATAACAGTATATTATGAATAGTAAAATAACACTGCTATAAAGATAACTATAATAGCATCCACACATATCATTCATCAGCTGGAAATAAATTGCTCTGAAAGTGATTCCAATGATTTCGTTCCTCTGTATCTTATATAATTGTCTTTGAAGTGTGAACTCACCTTTATTTCTATAGCGCTTTTTACAATACAGATCGTTTCAAAGCAGTAAGTGATAACAGGAAGAAATAGAGAAGAGAAAATAGTGTCATTTTTCAGTGTTGATTTAAACAGAATAAGAAAACTAGTCTCCTCCAGGTGCTGGGAACTCCAACACGAGAGCAGATTCGAGAGATGAACCCAAATTACACTGAATTCAAGTTTCCACAGATAAAGGCGCACCCTTGGACTAAGGTTAGCATGAGTGTTTCCATGTGCTTCATGCTTTTCTCCTTGGTTTAATTCTAGGCTTTGATTCTATCCTCTTCTTATAATGCCTTATAAAACTACTATTGCCAACACAATTTAATTGTCAACTTTAAATGCTCTCTTATGACTTACCGTATTTAAACCTCGATTTATATAAAAAAAAATTGTACTTTTGACAGTCAGAAGTTTATAATATTGTACAAAGGTTTGTATATAGCACTAAAAAACCTGTTTTTGTCCGAATGTTAGGTTTTCCGGCCTCGGACCCCTCCGGAGGCAATAGCCTTGTGTTCCCGATTGTTGGAGTACACGCCTACAGCCCGATTCACTCCTCTCGAGGCCTGCGCTCACACTTTCTTCGACGAGCTCCGTGAGCCCATCCTCAAGCTCCCGAATGGACGAGAGCGGCCCGTGTTGTTTAATTTCACCACACAGGGTATGTGGCACACAGATGCACAGCGGGTTCATGGTTTCAGACCTGTAGATCGGTCGCTTTGTTCCGAAACAGGGACTGAAATTGTTACAATGTTGCATTTTCTTCTTGGTTCGGTTCTCTTTCACAATATCCATTTATAAATTGACCAAAACTTGTTGATACAAGTCAAAATGGCTATTTTTATACTTACTAATATTCGAATTATATATATAATTTCCGTCATAATCTATTATTACCTGTGATTTTCATATTTTAGTGATAGTAAGCCATTTAATAGGCTCTGTTTATTTTCTTCACATTTTCATTTTTCTTCACGAACGTACAGGACAAGCATATAGGCTAGAAATGCATTTATTTATTTATGTAACAGTGAAGTGAAGTTCGACACTTTTCAGGTTTCGTCATGAATTTTCGTCCAATAAATCGCAATAAGCTTTGTGCTTTGTTACTTTTGATATGAAACAAAGTCTCAGTTTTCAAATTCTGTCCATTTTAGCACAAAATTCAAACCATAAATACAGTTTTGGGGCTCTTTATTGTGGCGCGAGCGAGAGATCACCGTAGCACCTCGGTTCAAGCCAAGTGGAGCGCGAGTGTACGAGATCAATTCCTTTCTTTTTACTACGTTACAGAACGAAAAAAATAACATGAGTGAACGTCAGGAAATATTATATGTTGAAAGATACAATCCAACTTATCGAAATCCGTATCATGTCTCTCATGTAATCGTTCAGTCAGTGTTTCAACCGCGGAAAGACGTCAATAAAACGGACAGGAACATCAAAAGATCAGCATTTATTTAAAAACTAAATCTTTTATAACATTATAACGGTCTTTAATGCCACTTTTAATCAATTTAATGCATCCTTGATGAATAACTATTTTTTTTGTAGGCCCCAAACTTTAGAACGGTAGTTTAAATGTGGTTGTACTTTCATAATTCATAATCTTTTTAACACTAATATCGCTAACACTTTACAACAGGGTCCCATTAGTTAACGTTAGCTAATGCATTAACTAACATTAGCTAACAATACATTTGTTACAGTATTTATTCATGTTAAAATACAACTTTGTTAGTTCATGTTAGCTCAGGTCCATTAAATATTATTAACCGGTACAAATTTTGATTTTAATAAATGATCTAATGCTTTGGATTTTTGTTAACAACTGGAACCCTATTGTAAAGTGTTACAGTAATATCTTTTTTATACAATGAACAGAGTTGTCCATTAAATATTATTAACCGGTACAAAGTTTGATTTTAATAAATTATCTAATGTTTTGGATTATTTATTTTTTTGATTGTTAGTTCATGTTAACTAATGCAGTTCACTAATGGATTTTTTTTTAAACAACTGGAACCTTATTGTAAAGTGTTACACTAATATCTTTTGCATTTAATGATCAGAGTTGTCCAGTAACCCCTCGCTGGCCACCGTACTCATCCCTGTACATGCTCAGAACCAGGTGGATAACTCCGCCCAGTCTGCCACGGCTGCAACAGGTGAGCGTTTCACTTTCAGCCTCTCAGAAACCCCGAGACTGTTCTCACAACCACTTTCAATAATCATCTGTAATTGTTCCAGGTGCCATCAGTGGACCGAACGCCAACGCTGCCTCTGCCGCCCCCAATCCTTCAACTTGAACCCCATCCACCGGTCAATGGGCCAACGCTGCTGCTTATTAGCCACGCCCACTCCCAGGAATCAAGGGCGTGGCTAAAACGAAACGAAAAGCTCATGGTATGATGGATGGATGCGCCAACCAAATCTTCCCCCCAGCCACCGTCTTTATTTTTATTATCAGTGTTTTAATTTATTCGCTCTGAAGGACAAAACGAGGGCTCAAAAACACGCCTCAGGACTGTCTGCGGTCATGTTTGAAAATTATTTCTCTCTCTCTATATATATATAGATATTCACACACTATTATAAACAGTTACACCACATGTCTACTTTGACATTTTTAAAGGGGAATCTGTATGCTGTAGCCACGGCTTCTTTTATAATCGTCAGCTGACACCGACGGTGGTTTCTGATTGGCCCAATACGACCGAGCCACGGACAGATTTCCAGGGCTTGTGTACATTCTGTAGACTACGTGAAATATATGCTAATGACCTTTGCCTTTTCCCTCAGTATTGGGCGGATGTGTTGTGTGCTTACGCTGTTTGCTGCTGTGTACCTCTTTCTTTTCGACCACTTTTGAAGGAGTGACACTATCCATTTGTTTTCCTGCTCGTCTTCCTCCTTCCTGTTGTATAGTACTTTACTGAGCTCTACTGATGTTGACGCACACATAATATCGGATCATTTTCTGTGAGCGAGAGTGTGTGTGTGTGTGTGTATGTGAGTGCATGTTTTGTGTCTTATGTCTATAAATACTGTATGCTCATTATTGAACTGTTAGTGAGCTAAAAGAAACAAGCACGAATCTGATAATCAGGACCTTAACACTGAACATGTGAACGGGTTTCTGCGCCGAGAGAAAGATGCCGTGGTTTGGTTCTCCAAATCGTCTCTTCTGTGTCAATTGTGTTAGAATTTAGCGGAATGAGTGGCTGGAAACAGTATGAAACCATTAACCATCTGGACTGCTCCATCAGGAAATCGACACTAATGACGAGAAGGAAGAAAATAAATATTTTACTGTCTTTGGATCTCTACAGAACTTTTGCTTCCACTTCTTGTTGTTTTTCTTCCTCACGTAGCTACTCTTTAGCGTCCCCTAGTGTTAGAGGAAGTGTGCAACTGAGGCTGTTGTGTTTTGTTAATCTAAATACGCTGTGAATCTGCACAGAATAGTCACTTGAGCCTGTTTATGTACCTCCCGAAAGTGCTGTTGAAAGAATATCCATACGCTAAAATGATGTTCACCCAAATATGAAAACCATCCATCGTTTACTCGCTCTCATACGGAAGCCCATTTCCGCCACATAAGAAAAAAAACGCATGCTCGTGTACATCATAATTATGACACAAAAGTCGAGATTATGAGATGAAAATATTTTGACTTTGATATTAAAAAGTCATAATTATAATCTATAAAGTCAATTTTTTAACTTTAACACAATCATAATTGACATAGTATGTCATAATTTTGACTTTTTAAATCTTAAAATGATCATTTTGACTTAATAAATATGACTTGGCTCGTAATAGCTTTGTCATAATTATGATTTACAAAAGCATGATTTATTTTTTCTTATGTGGCGGAAATGGGCTTCCAAAGTTTCAAACCTAAATTATATTCTTTCTTCCATCGACCCCAGAGGAAATATTACGTTCACAGTCACGCTGATCTTTTCTATACAAATGAAATTTGATGGTGACCAAGGGTCGTCAAGCGACAAAAAAGGTATCAGAACAATAATCCATATGACTTATGCAATATTTAAAGTCTTCTGAAGTCGTACAGTTGCGTTGTGAGGACATTTGTAAGTGGTTAATAATTCCTTTCTGCCATATATCTCAAGTATTGTGTTCAATTTGAATATACACATATTCAAATGTGTGATTTTCTCACTTTTAAGGTGTTTTTGTCATATTTGAAGCTTGAAAGATCCTGATCTCCATCCACTTTCATTGTATGGACATGATTCAGCATATCACAAAAAAAATATTATTTTATGGAGGTGAGTAAATGATGACATCAGTTTAGTTTTTGGGTGAACTATCCCTTAAACTGACCCAGTACTTCCTGTAAACTTTGTTGTTCTTTTGAACAGATTTTTTATTGCCAACTAACAGGAAAATATGATATTATACAGTATGAAGATGCTCCATTTACTCGTTTAAATAATGTATGCTTGGCAAAGGGAAATTGAATTGAATTTCATCTGCTGCGCTCTTGTTCAGGTCAGTTCTTTATCACAGCAGGGAAAATAGATATATTTTTCATTTTCTTTTTTCCCCTTTTTATACTTTTAATTGAAAGTTTCTGAACGACTTTTTCTTAATCATGCAGGAATTTCTTGTATGTTCTTTTAATTGCGAGGGAAACTCTTACATTTACAGTTTTTTTATTTCACTTTTTATGATTATGAATGATATTTGGGGAAATAGTGTCATGTATCTAGTATTAACTAATGATTTGCAATAATTGATTTGTGTTTGGGATCTTGTGAGATACTTTCAGCAGCACTTAAAGAGATTGATGTCATGTAGCACTACGACCTTTTTCAAATGTTCATAAGCTTTATTTGAATATGTTTTATGGACATCCTTGCATATTTATCCATTGCTGTTAGCAGTCACGTTGCTTCAAGGATTTCCTCAGCATGTAAAACACCTTTCTCAGTGACTCATACTTGAGACGAATATGAGATGAAAGGGGAAAAGGAGAAATAACAAATGTGAACTGTTAGTAGCCATTAGTCAATCAACAGCCACCGAACACATGAAACAGCTTTTGTTTTGGGTTTTGTTTTTGTCTTGTTTTGTTTTGGGTTTTGTTTTTGTTCTGTTTTGTCTTGTTTTGTTTTGGGTTTTGTTTTTGTTCTGTTTTGTCTTGTTTTGTTTTGGGTTTTGTCTTGTTTTGTTTTGGGTTTTGTTTTTGTTCTGTTTTGTCTTGTTTTGTTTTGGGTTTTGTCTTGTTTTGTTTTGGGTTTTGTTTTTGTTCTGTTTTGTCTTGTTTTGTTTTGTTTTGGGTTTTGTTTTTGTTCTGTTTTGTCTTGTTTTGTTTTGGGTTTTGTTTTTGTTCTGTTTTGTCTTGTTTTGTTTTGGGTTTTGTTTTTGTTCTGTTTTGTCTTGTTTTGTTTTGGGTTTTGTTTTTGTTCTGTTTTGTCTTGTTTTGGGTTTTGTTTTGTCTTGTTTTGTTTTGGGTTTTGTTTTTGTTCTGTTTTGTCTTGTTTTGTTTTGTTTTGTTTTGGGTTTTGTTTTTGTTCTGTTTTGTCTTGTTTTGTTTTGGGTTTTGTTTTTGTTCTGTTTTGTCTTTTTTTTGTTTTGGGTTTTGTTTTTGTTCTGTTTTGTCTTGTTTTGTTTTGGGTTTTGTTTTTGTTCTGTTTTGTCTTGTTTTGTTTTGGGTTTTGTTTTTGTTCTGTTTTGTTTTGTTTTGGGTTTTGTTTTTGTTCTGTTTTGTTTTGTTTTGGGTTTTGTTTTTGTTCTGTTTTGTCTTTTTTTGTTTTGGGTTTTGTTTTTGTTCTGTTTTGTCTTGTTTTGTTTTGTTTTGGGTTTTGTTTTTGTTCTGTTTTGTCTTGTTTTGTTTTGGGTTTTGTTTTTGTTCTGTTTTGTCTTGTTTTGTTTTGGGTTTTGTTTTTGTTCTGTTTTGTCTTGTTTTGTTTTGGGTTTTGTTTTGTCTTGTTTTGTTCTGTTTTGTCTTGTTTTGTTCTGTTTTGTCTTGTTTTGTTCTGTTTTGTCTTGTTTTGTTTTTGTTCTGTTTTGTCTTGTTTTGTTTTGGGTTTTGTTTTTGTTCTGTTTTGTCTTTTTTTTGTTTTGGGTTTTGTTTTTGTTCTGTTTTGTCTTGTTTTGTTTTTGTTCTGTTTTGTCTTGTTTTGTTTTGGGTTTTGTTTTTGTTCTGTTTTGTCTTGTTTTGTTTTGGGTTTTGTTTTTGTTTTTGTTCGGTTTTGTTTTGTTTTGTGTTTTGTTTTTGTTCTGTTTTGTTTTGTTTTGGGATTTGTTTTTGTTCTGTTTTGTCTTTTTTTGTTTTGGGTTTTGTTTTTGTTCTGTTTTGTCTTGTTTTGTTTTTGTTCTGTTTTGTCTTTTTTTGTTTTGGGTTTTGTTTTTGTTCTGTTTTGTCTTGTTTTGTTTTGGGTTTTGTTTTTGTTCTGTATTGTCTTTTTTGTTTTGGGTTGTGTTTTATTTGGGGGAGGGGGGTTGTTTTGTTTTGGGGGCTTTGTTGTTGTTTTATCTTGTTTTGTTATTGGTTTTGTTTGGTTCTACTCTGTTTTTTGTTTTCAAAAAAACAAAAGATGAATGTTTCGTTTTTGTTTTTCTTCTCCCGTGCCAGTATTCTGAACGTCTCTTCTTGTTCATACTGATGTCGGTTCTGTCGCTTGTGTGTTCTGGTTCAGAGATGTCACCTGATACTGTACTGTATTGAATAAAGTGTAGGTTACCCTCACTCCATCACACTGCTTCTTCTCTCTTTATTGCTAAATATATATATTTTTCTTTACTAAACACCTTATCCCTCTCAGGATAGGGTGATATCTGAACGATAGAGACACACCAAATGACAGCATGTCATTTCACTCTCGAGTTGTTCCAAAGACTTAATTTCTTCTGCAGAACTCAAACACATTTATATGCAAACACCCTTTAAAATAAAGTGATTTCCTTACTAATTCTCGATAATGTACTAATTATTGAATCATGTTTTCTTAAACTATCTGATATATTGTTATATGTCATATTTTATCTAATGTATTCAGAATTTTGATTGCGGCTAACCCCAACTTTAACAGTTAAAGTAACATAATGTGTTCATCTGTCAGCTCATTCTTTTGTTTGTTACTTTATAACAACTTGTTTACCAAATGATGAAAATAGTACAAATGTTGCAGGACTGCCTCTGTGTGACCTTGGCAGTGTAAATGATGCTGATAAACATGAATTACACCAGACTTTGAAGTCTTAGGTCATCACGTACCATCAAGTAATGATGCCTTTGTGTGATTTTTCCACAAATAATGAAAACACTCACACTGCTGCTGCACATATGTAACAAATCATTATAAATTTAAAAAGAAATGTAACAATGTAAAAAAAAATGTTCCACAGTGTTCAGATCATGCATGCCACAGCATAAAGCAATGAACTGCCTAATTTTACTAATATATTGAAAAGAAAATACACATTTTAAAGCAAAACATTGCAAAATGTATTTGATTACTTTATAAAAATGTCATTCATGAATAAGAAATATTTCTATTCTATTGCTAATGTTGTTGTTACTGTTACTAGTTGTTCCTTGAGAATTTCCATTTGTTTTTGTGTGTGTGTGTGGGGGGACCAGCCAGCGGTCCCCACGAGGGTAATGGGTTAATAAACATACTAAATTAGATATTTTTTAAATTTGTAGAAAAAATGAAAGTTTCATGTGATGGATAGGGTTAGTGTAAGGAGACAGAATATACAGTTTGTACAGTATAAAAAAATATGGAGTGTCCCCAAAAAGATAGTGAACCAGACTGTGTGTGTGTGTGTGTTAATAATATACAGTATGTATATATATATATATGCAATTTTTTACCCATTTAACGATCGCAGTAGCCAATAGTAGAATGACGCACTCTTCAGGATAGGAAAAACCTCCCACTTACTGTTTAAAAGTGTATCAGTCCTCTTGTGGCATCTACAGAGTGAGAAACGTCCCTCAGCAGTCGTCTAGCTGGTAAGACTGACATTTATCAGCTTATTTTCCCTAGTGTGTTATCAATTTTGAACCAGTTTCATATTTATTCTGTAATTATCTTGTACATTTTGCTGCCAGATATCCAGGTTGCAGTGAGAAATGAAGCGGTTTTGTGCTGTTTGCATCCTAATGATTCTTACTCATGGTAAGCCTGTTTGTTTTTCAAATTATTATATCTGGTCTAACTGTTCATATGTCTTTCACACATTTTAGTGCATAAAAATACTGCTATCACTATGTTCACATCTCAGCATTAGTGTTAGCGCATTACAAGTAACGTGAGTTATGTAATCAGATTACTTTTTTCCAAGTAACTAGTAATCCATTACTTTTAAATTTACAACAAAATATCTGAGTTACTTTTTCAAATAAGTAACACAAGTTACTTTGTTTTCTAATTCATTGACTGACAGCTCTCTTTGTTGAGAAAAATAGAACTTTTTTGTTGTTTTTTGTTATTAAAATACAAACAATCAAGCCCAGCCTATGTGGGTGAAAGTAACGCAACACATTACTTTCCATAAAGAGTAACTAAGTAATGCGATTAGTTACTTTTGACTTTTGAGGGAGTAACGCAATGTTGTAAAGCATTACTTTTCAAAGTAACTTTCCCCAACACTGCATATCAGTGTCTTGCAATGTAAAAACAAACAAAAAATTGCCAGGAAATAATGCATATTTGTCTCCTTCTCTCTTTTTTCTGTCCCAGATCTTGCTCGCTTTTCTTTCAGGGCAACGGCGTTGCGTTGTAACCTATGTGTTTCCAAAGGGCTTGGGAATCCCTGCACTCCATCAGTCCAGACATGTCTGCCACACGTCACCAACTGTGGGTACATCAAACTCAAGCAGGGTTTAATGGGTGAGTTCAGCCATCCCATCATCACGACTATGGCAAGCCGTTTTAACTTTTATTCATTTCCAGGATATGAATTGTTGATATCAACAATTACATTTTTGATATCAACAATTGAATTATTGATATCAAAAATGTAATTCTTGATATCAACAATTGTATTTTCACTAGTGAAATGTCACCATAGACTGCCATTCAAAATCAATTGTTGATATCAAGAATTGATTTCTTACTATATAATTTTTGATATCAATAATTACATTGTTACTTGTAAAAATGCGAATTCCTGATATCAATAATTAAATTATCACTAGTCTAAATGTCTATTCTTGATATCAACAACTGAATTGCTACTAGTAAAAAAATTCATTTTTGATATCTGAAAATGTATTTCTGATATCAATATTATTCAGATATCTAAAATGGCTTTCTTACTAGTAACAATCACATTCATGATATCAGAAATTAACATTGTCACTAGTGAAAATTGAATTATTGATATCAAAAATGAGCATTGTTACTAGTAGCAATTCAATTGTTGATATCAAGAATAGACATTTCAACTAGTGACAATTTAATTCTTGATATCAAAAATAAAGGTTTTTACTAGTAAGAATTGTATTTCTGATATGTGAAATTGGAATTTCAACTGGTAAGAAATCAATTCTTGATATCAAGAATTGATTTTGAATGGCAGCCTATGGTGACATTTCACTAGTGAAAATACAATTACAGATATCAAGAATTATAGTTTTTACTAGTTGCAATTCAATTGTTGATATCAAGAATGATCATTTTTACTATTGAAAATGTAAATGTTGATGTCAAGAATTAGCAGTGTTACTAGTGAAAATGTAATTCCTGATATCAAAAATTGCCATTGTTACTTGTAGAAATATTATTCCTGATATCAATAATTATAATTTTAACTAGTGAAAATTGAATTGTTGATATCAAGTATTCATATCCTGGAAATTAATAAAAGTTAAAACGGCTTGCCATATCACGACCCGTGAAAACCAACGCTATCTCACGACCAATTTGAGTGATTAAAAAGGTGGCTTATTCGTAAGAATTCGTACGACCCGAATTTGTACGATTTGTCTAAACCCACGTGCAGGGTAGGTTTAGGGGCGGGGTCAGGGGTAGGTAATTCGTACGAATTCATACGAATTGGCCAACTCGTAAAATATGTACGATTTAGCAAAAATTCGTACTAATTTGTACGAGTGAGGTCGTACGAATTCTTACGAATTAGCCACCTCGTAAAATTCGTAGTACGAATTGCCGTGAGATCGGGTTGGTGAAAACAGATAGCCTACTACGGAACCTATTCGCATCCGTTTTTTTTTTTAAAGTTAGTTACATTAAACGTTCTCTCCGCAGGCCCTCCCTTCATCCGTTCCTGTATCAGCAGGGCGACCTGCTGGGACTATATGCATTCTGAAGCTGTGGAGGCTAAGTGCTGTAAGACTGACCTCTGCAACTGAGCAAACAAACACATGATCACATTCAGTCTGCCTTTCTGTAACCTTGGCGGTGTGATTGTATTAAATTGTACTAAATGCTATAGCTAGGCTAAAAAGTCAAATGTAACAAACGATTAATAATTGCAACAAAAATATATAACAAAAAGCAATGATTAATAACTTTTTTTGCAGGCAAGAATAAAATCAGTCAAGCTTGTAATCTGTGTATCTTCCCATGAGGAACAATCTGTACAGAGGACACGAAAAATGAACTAACAACTGAACAATATGACTTTGGAATAAAGCTAGGAGCAGATAATGAAAAATCTGGGCCATTTGAGGATTGAAAATTGAGATCTGATCTTTAATGCTTTTCATTGACAGCGCAGCAGGTGTTGAACAGGGTTACTGTAGTTAAACTGGAGTCAAACGTTTGCGTGATTGAGAAATATTGCACTGCAAAAATCTTGTTTAGGATGAGGACTTTTTCTATTTTTGTTACTTGATGAAAAAGAAAGGAGCTACTTTTCTTTTGTTTTGTGTTAAGAACTGAGCGACTGGTACACTGTAAAAAAAATGATATGATCAATAAGTTATGACAACATGTTTTAACATTGCTTTAACTCATCAAAATAAGTTAAGCATGCAATTTTCAACTTTTTTTTATAAGTTATACAAGAGATTTAACTCATGGTTTAGGTTTTAAGTCAATTGAATGTAATTTAAGTTGAAATGACTTAAACAACCAAGTTGATTGTACTTAAAAATTGAAGGCAGCAACTTTCTTTTCTTTTTCTTTTTTTACAGTGAATTGCCAGTTTTATGCAGTCTATCTGAATAATGTGTCTATACTGCTATCGTTCAACCAGATTGTAATGACTGTTTCCGATGGCGCCATCTACTGGACACTAGCCAAAGGACACGTGTCAGAGGATGGAGCTTTTCCGCAAACGATCCTCAAAAATAAAATTAATAAAAAAATAAAATTAAAGGTTCTGCAAAATTTCCACAAAATAATTACATGTTTAGAAGATGTTATTTCGTTAGGTTATTATTCATCAAATACTTGTGGTAAGAACACTCTTGTAAATGTGACACGCAATTTTAATAAAAATAACTTAATTTAAACAGTTAAGGTTTAAATTATAGGTCTATGACTAACTTGAGTGGATCAACTGGTTTGCTATATCAACAACTGATGAAAAATTGTTTGACTGACTAAATGGATGGATGGATGGATGGAGAGAATTTGCTGAATTTAAATTAAACTGGAATTGATGTATATCAAACAGGACGCAGAAGAATACAATTGAATTGAAATGGAAATTCATTATTATTATTATTATATAATTATTATACCAAAAGCAAAGTTTGTCTATACAAACTTGTTTTTGTGAAAGTTTAAGAAAAAAAAAAAAGTTTAAAAACTTGTAGTTTGAATGTTTATAGACCGACAGTTAGACAGGAAATTTGTCTATTTCATTTGTATATCTGTAAGTATAAAATTTGTAATATATATAGCAATAGGCCTATATATATATATATATATTACAAATTTTACACTTACCGAAAATATATAGGCCTACACCAACCCGAAAATGAGAAGAAAGTTGGGTTCGGACTCCGGACCATGTTGATGGTTGTTTTACATCAACGTTTGATTATATAGGCTATCATAAATATGCTAAAATACGACAATTTAAACAAGTATTTTAAACGGACTCGAAGTAGGATAAATAAATGTAATCGAATTATAAGAAAATGATCTATCAGTGCCAGTTAGGCCTATTATTAACAATGACGTTCAGAAATAAGACGACAAAACAAAAGGGAAACGGTTAAATTTAAGAAAGAATATTTTTTATTTTAGACTAATAAATATTTGGTCTTTCAAGGCACTTCCAACATAAGGCCAATAAGTACTTCTTCTGACGGATAACATCCGTGTCAGACGATCTTAAAAGAGTTACACATCTAAAGCTGCTCTACAAGAGCACGCCAGAATACAACACGAAGAATAAAACATATACAGCAGCTTATACTTCCATCATCTCGTGTGGCTGCAGGGGACTGGGTTAACATTGACATTACTGATACTATAACTAGGCCCAATTAATAACCATGAGCAATTAGATGATTCCTTTGAAAATATAATTACATGTTGTTCGTGAGTATTATTCAGCACTTAGTTGTGCAATTAACAAGAACAATCATGTAATGTGACCAAAAGCTGTTATTGTAATTTTCCCTGTGATTCTGCATGTGTAAACTTTAATAATTTGCGCAAAGTCTCTCAGAGTGGAAGAAGCCGCGTCAGGTAGAAAAAAGTTTTTTTTTAGTTTTTTTTTTTTATGACAAATAATACATCCCATAGGACACGGGTCCGTTAAATAGTCCTGGCATCGGGACGGGCCGTGGGAAGGAGGCTGGAGGTCCGTACAGAGATGATGGAGATCCCAGAGGAAAGGGCAGCGCGAACGGGGACAGGAGCGGTTTGGAGGCGCATTTGAACTTTTCCAGCTCGGCCTCCTGGAGTCTCTTGGCCTTCGCCCTCCGGTTCTGGAACCAGATCTTGACCTGAGTCTCGGTGAGGTTGAGGGAGTTGGAGAACTCGGCCCGTTCGGCGATGGAGAGGTACTGTTTCTGCCTGAACTTGCGCTCGAGGGAGAGCAGCTGTGCGGTGCTGAAGGGTGTGCGCGGCTTCCGGTTCGTCTTGTGCTTGCGTAACGGGCACGGCGGCGGGCTCGGGAGACCTGCGGGACAACGGGAACAAACCGTTACTTCTTTAGAGGTCAGGTCTCCAAATGCCTTCATCGTGAATTTTGACTACCGTTTTTTTTTTTTTTTTGAATACCACTTTCTTTCAAAATTCACTGATATCTCCTATTTGTGTGTTTGCAACTTTTCTAATATGTCCCCCCCCCCCCCCTTTTTTTATATACATTTTAACATTATTTTTATTTTGATGGCAAACAGAATGGCATTGAACACCTATTATTTCTTAACTGTTATTTCACAACAACAATTATCATTTTTAAAATGATTAACTTTTACTAATTAATTATGCTACTATTTATTCTTACACGTCTAAAATGTAATAGATAAATATTGTTTTTGTTAGGCTATTGTTAGGGCCTATAAATCTATTGGTAGGCCTATAAGGAAAAATATGTTTAAAAAGTATTCTTTTTAAACATTTATTTTTCTTTCTTTCTTTCTTTCTTTCTTTCTTTCTTTCTTTCTTTCTTTCTTTCTTTCTTTCTTTCTTTCCATAAAACTACAAGACATCTGAATAATCCAAACTTTATCCTTCTTTCGCTGCCTTGCAGCTGCCTATAGGCTATTTACGGTAAAATAGCCCACTTTATTGTCATTTTGTTTAACGTTTATAACAGTAATATTAGCCTATTTAATATTTTCACAAAATAAATGATTAGCCTATTTATAATAAAATGTTTTTAAGCGATTGTTATAGCCTAAATAGTTTATATTAAAAGTAAATAAAGTAAATGTAGGCTATAGCTGTCAATAATAAGAAAGGTGAAGGTAAAAAATAAATACATTCTATTATCATTATTTAGGCTATGTGTCTAATTAAATTCCAAATATGCATCAGAATGTTAGCTACTATATTTACACTGTTTTGAAAGAAAAAAATGATAATGAACAAACTAAGTAATGACTGTAAATGGTTGAAATACTTACGAGGAGGAGATATGAAAGACGAAGAGTTTGGCCAAGTGCTCTGTTCCTTATCGCTTAAATCTTCACTGTCCGAAACGCTTGACAAAGTGTCCACAGAAACTTTGGTTTTCTCTACAAAGTAAGTCCGTACTAAGTCCTGTCCCAATCCCAGTCTCTGGTGCTGGAGAGCCGGAGAGCACGCGACCTGGCAGCTCGATTTGGCCATCAGGGATTCAACACTGAATGGGAGGTAGGTCTTCTTCACTTTATGTCCCGTGTCAGTGGTCATATCTTTCGGCTTTTGACTTTCCTCGCTGTCCGAGTCCGATTTTTCCTGAGCTGTCGCTTCAACGGGCCCCTTAGGAGAACTCATCGTAAACCATCCGCCTCAAGTTTATTCATATACAGTCTCGTCTCAACAACTTCCAACAGTCTGTCTCGCGCTGCTTCAGTGCGCTTATAATAGCTCGCAAACTGCGGGCAACCAATCAGCGTGTGCGCTCGACCAGCTGACTTACAAACGCCTCGATTTGATTGGTCAGAACGGTCCCCCGGGGCACGCTCGGACCAATCAAAATAAAACCCTTAGAAGTCATGTGGTCAAGTTGACACCAAGACATCAAGGGGATATTGAGAAAAATGAGTACTTAATCGCGGATGTCTTGCTGAGATGATGTATAGATGGCCTCAGGGCTCTTGACTCTTTGGAGCACAAAGTAGACCAATTTTAGCCCAATTAAACAGTGGGGAAGCTCTCAAAGTATCTGTATCCGACTGTTGAGAAGTCATTGAAAAGGCACAATGGAATTACTCCACACCAAAACTGTGGTCAAAAGGAATAGGCCTACACTGTAAACAAAAAAACCGGACTGTCTTGTTTGTAAATTCACTCGGAAATATAGTTGCCTAAATTATGTTTTTAATAGAGTATTGGCAGGTAACAAAAACACCTGGCTAAATAATTAAATAACACATGTTAATATATAGCTAATATAGTAGCCTATGTAGAACTCTTAAAAACACTGGGTTGATTTCACCCATGTTTGGTCATATGGACAAACCCAACCGTTTGGTTTAAAATTGAATTAAAAAAAAATATAGATATTTTTTGTCCATATTTGACCCAAACATGGTTTAAACAAACAGCATATAATTATATAGTATATATTATATATATAGCTTATTTCTTAGAATAGGCTATATATATAGGCTATAGGCTAGGCTACATATATAGGCTGTATAATTTTTTTTTTTTTACCATTTTCATTTAGACTTTTTTTTTGTGTGGGATAAATTCAAAAGCGTCTATAAAATTGAATTATGCAAAAATAGCTTAA